TTTACTCTGCCGGTAAAATGTATGTAATTAACAACATAATCATATCTATTATCTAATGGGTGTTCTCACCGTCTAGTGAGTAATCTATGACCTCCGTCTTCCTGTCTCAATAGGGACCTTAAGATCCGACGACGGCGACGGCAACGGGAACGCCACAAAAACAGTAGGTTTAATTAGCAAAACAACAATTTTGCACGTTGATCACGCTTTTTTGTACATTTCTTTGCCGTCACTGCACGACTACGACGTGAAAATGCCTAATTTTACGATGTACAGAGGAAGTACACAAGCGACGTCGAATTTCCTCTCTCTTTCTGAACTTGGATATGGTTCTTAGGAACTCAACTTTAGGAGAGTTCGCCTACATTTGACAAAGTTAGTGACTTCGAGTAATCGAGATGAAGATCGAAAGAACGCGAATTCATTTTTTCAGCGACGTTTTCTCTGCCGTCGCCCTCCTCGGATCTTAAGGTCCCTACTGTTTGAAAACCCGAGGAATTCAATTCAGTTTTCTTCAATCTTTGAAATGTTAATTAAAAACACTTTATTTTAAACTGAACCTGTACCCTTGACCTGTCTCTTTCGCATGTGGCACCGACAGAGCAATTGCGCAAATCGTAGATTACACGATAGACTGCGACACAGAGGTCCAGAAAGACTGTAACGACCGGCTGTAACGAATATAATTGTGAAATGTAGATAATTGTAAGTATCATGTAATACTTTGCCCTTTTTCTATGCTTCTGTTATCAAGGTTGTTTGGAATTTTGTAAGTAGTTTCTTTTTAATTAGTTCTTTGTTATTAGCGTAATAAATGTCCTGAAGAAAAAAACAACAACAACAACAAAAAAACATGCATAAAGGTCATAAAGTTGGAAAAACCACGAAAACATAATATGAGGATCTTTTGAGATCGAGTGATTGTCATTAGTAATATGATAGAATTTGGCTGGAACATAGAATGATATATTGTTAAACTTATTTCAACTCTCGACGAAGCAAAAACGCCTCAAGTGTTGTCATTTTAGCTACTTTACAAACTTAAAAATAGCATTGTTTCAAGTGGCGTTTTTGATTAAAACAGGAAATAGACTGAATCGAAACTTTCGGCCACCTGTGAGTAAATGACAAAAAAAGGGGAGGCGACAGTTTACCCTTCAGACTGGAACAATTTTTTTCATGTACAAACCAAAGCAGAACAGAGCTTCTGTAAAGCTATGTACTTTCGCATGTATAAAATCTAACAATTCATTTGTTTTATCGAGGTTTGATGCCGTATTGAAGCTTTTAGTTTTTTGACCGAAATATAAAAGTAAGGTTTACTCTATGAAAACGACAAATTTTTGACCTGCTCTTTTTTCGTTTACTCTGCTGGTGAAATGTATGTAGACAATATAATCATATCTAATAATTTATATCTAATCGGTGTTCTCACCGTCCTGTGAGTGATCTATGACCTCCGCCTTCCTGTTACGTGTCATTGTTTGAAAACCCGAGGAATTCAATTCAGTTGATTCAATTTTTTGAAATATTAAAACACTTTATTTTAAATTGAACCTGTATCCTTGACCTGTCTCTTTCGCCTGTGGCACCGACTGAGCAATTGCGCACATCGTAGATCGCGCCTGTCCATAGACTGCGACACCACAGAGGTCTACAAAGACTGTAACGACCGTTTGTATGTTTGACTTTAGAGGAAAAATGTCTGTGAATATCTATAAGGTTCAGATAATCGTAATGCGCAATACATTTATTTATAATTTTGCTTAAAGAGGCAGACGTGATAACCTTTCTCAGGCAGTATCTTACGGCCTTCTAAACATTGATGTGATGAATATGTATTACTATATTTTAAAAAGAGTCGCCATAATTGTAATTTGGGGGATAAAGGCAATGTGTACTCAGAAAATCATTTTTGCAGTGAAAAACGCCGAATGTATTGATTTGAAGGCATGCAGGTGTTTGCATTAGACGTTTGGCCGGACTTAAGAAGTTTACATTAATACACGTACTCTCCAGAAGTGCCTGTATTTAAAAAAAAAATGTTTAAACCAAATCATCACATATTTATTTACTAATCTCAAACTCTTTTTTAGTTGTAATTAACTAGCCGTCGGCGTTTTTGTGAAATCAATAACAAGGTCTTCTGATTAACTGAGCACGTATACCTAATCAAAATACCTCGTGGTTTGAGCCTAAACTAAAATGTGAACCAATGGAATAAGAGTGTTCATTGCAAAAGAAATTTCTAAAGTTCAGAAAGGCTAAAAATTTTGGATAACCGTTCCTTGCTCACGTTAAATCCCTGAGCTTTTATATAACTTCATAAGGGGTTTGGGGTCGGGGGCTTATATCCGGGGGGTGCATATAAGCGGAATAGAAACAAAAACGTTTCTGAAGGACGCGATAAGACATTTATCGTGCGTCACTCCAAAACATTGGAGTTGAACAGATGTGTTGGAAACGAGCAGTGGAAACAGGTAGATATACTGTACCCAAGACTCCCGAACACTTTTCTTGCACCCTGTATGAAACGCTTCGAAACAAGTTTTTTGATAAAATCATTAAAAAGTATTAATATTAATTTTTTTTAACGATTTCGATGTAAAACTGATAAATGTTGCTGCTATTTAACAATTGATCCATTTATTTGTAAATCAGTTGCTGCTTTTATTTTTGAGATTATAAATGGTAGATACTATCATGTAATTTCTAAAGTTACTTAACCAATTAATTAACTATTTACTTTTTTAGAGAATAGGCAATGTCAAGTATGTAAATGGGAATATCTTAACAAATTGTTTTTGTTGTTACTTGACAACGCCTTGAAATGTTCAGATTTCGGGTCATGCAACCTACGCTGTGTTTTACTGATGTAAGCTTCATTGCAATCGCAGCAACAGTTTTGTAGATAACCTTGGATATAAGAGATCGAGCTAATCTATCCTTATACAGGAAAAAAGACTCGATGTTACGACCAGCTCTGTGATTGACGCTTTCTGTTTGCCAGGTGCTGCCCTGGTGCCTTTAGACTGCAAAACAGTCTGTATTTTTGCGTATTCAAGTGTGCGCGAGCAGTCAAACAAAAGGTCTGGAATGAGGCTGAAAACAGAGAGCGAGACTGGCCCGTAGGGCGTGTGATGCTCGCGCGCCTCGCGCGCGTAAGACTCTTACGCCACGCTTTACGGCTTCACTGATTTTGAGAAAAAAACCGACTGTTTTGCAGTCTATGGTGCCTTTTGCATAAGTGTCACCGGGTAATCAGCGGGATGAGAAGCCTGAGAAAAGCATTTCTGTTTGCAAACCTTTGTTGCTTAATAATCAACGACCGTATTCAGTATAATTAATAAAATGTCACTTAACTGTTAAGTATAAATAAATCAGTTAAGTATAAAATTTTTGGCCAATTATCAGTCAACTACTAAGCCCACTGGCACCCTCTGTTTTCAACAAAGTTCATCAAGAGTCACGTGAAACTACACGTGAAATCTGACGCTCAGAAGGTGAATTTGCCCTTGACACACCCCAGAAGGTATCTGGTAACCTTGTTACACTCTCCAGAAATACCAGTATATTAAAAAGTTTTAAAAATTATCACATATTTATTCGATCGGCATCACGGGCGAAATTCTGTTATTTTAATTTGCCGTTTTTCAGTAGGTCTTTCAAGTTAATGGGTGGCCTTAAGCCGGCCGGCTTAATCACCCATTAACGGAGTACCTACTGAGAAAAAAAAAAATTAAAATAACGCATGTAAGCCACGTGATGCCGATCGAATAAACAGTGATAGAAGTGCTAATTGCAAAAAAACAAAAAAAAATTCTACCGTTCGGAAAGATTACAATTTATGGGTGAGTCCGTTCCATCTAGATATATTCGAACTTGTATGGAAACTTACGATTTGCTCACATTTATCACCAAAATACTGGGAGGCTACCTGATAATTGTTAAAAAGAATTGCTTTAAATTGCATTTCGAGTTTGACTTTCTTACGGCGCTCTGCTTTAGTAATTATTAAAAAAAAATGCACCCAGTGGCGTACGCTCGTGAACAGATTCAATTTTCCAACAAACGCTTCATTCAACTAAAATCGGCGACTAAATTCGTGACCTGTCTTAATTTAAAGATATCACATGGATAATAGGCTAGCAAAAAATAATCCTTTCGTTTGCCACAAAGCGCTATGTAATAGACGTTATGTAACAGACTACTCAACGACATGCTGCCTCTCTCTGCAAAAAAGCAACACTGAATTGTACTGAAAGTTCGGATAAAAGAGCGAAAACATAAAATGAGGACCTTTCGAAGACCGAGAGATTGTCATTAGCAATAATATAAATAAAAAGAATTTGGCTGTGACAGATGCATTTTTTTTTCTTTTTGTTATAAAACTAAAAGAAAAGAGCCTCGATTGTTTGGTTGCGTTAATAGCCTGACTTTTCAAACTTTAAAATAGCATCGCTTTACACAATAGCCTGAGGGGCGTGAAAACTGCTGGCGTTTCAGACTGGAACATTTATTTCAAAAAGAAAAAGCATAAAAGTAAAATAAGTCAAAGCAGAACAGAACTGCTCCCGTGTATCTCTGCGTGTGCAAATTCTAATTGTTTGTTCGAAGCAAGTTTTAATTAACAAATCGGTTGTGAAAATGACTGTTTGCTGCCATGTCGTTTCTCTACAATGATGTAATTTAACAAGATGATACAAGGTCAGCAAGTTTAACCCCACCCAGTTTTTTTACTCTCACTGTTAATGATATTATGCTGCATCGGTTTTAGACATGGTATTATAATAGACATATTGTTCTGCCCACTATATAATGTTAGCTTTGTTTCAAAAGCTTTCTGGATTGTAATTGGTTGAAGTAAATTTCGGGTGTGACATTCACTTTTATAGCAGCGCACTCAAAGCCAAGTTGCCATTCACTCTGGTTATTTGGAAGAGAGCAGATCAGAAACAACAAGAGCTGTAAGGTTTATATCTTACTTCAAGTCTACCACTATGGTAAGTTCTGAACAGTAAAAGATTTTACAATATATTTTTGAATTATTAATTCTTATTGTTGTTTTACTGACTCACGACTCAACTTTACTTCCAGTTCTTGACGGATTATTGATCTAGTTTCGCCAAAATTATTTGTATTCCGCAGACTGCAACAAAAGACGTGAAAGATGAAATGAAGATTAAGCTTCATATGGACGGTGATGTTAACGGGTACAAGTTCAAGATTGAAGGAAATGGACAAGGAAAGCCTTACGAGTAAGTAAAAAAAGTTAAATCATTGAAAGCAGGCTTCAGACCTCATTGCTTCAATTTGGTATGTTCAGAATAGATTTCAGTGTACATTTTTCGTTTTGCTTGTGTGTAAGAGATTAACCACCAAAAACTTAGTCTCACCTGACCCTATGTCTTTCAGCCATAGCACTGCAGACAAAATATGCTATTTTAGTTTCCTAGCCTTTGATCGTTATGGCAATGAAAGAAAAACCTACGAAAGTCTTCAGTAAGGAAGCCTTTTAGACGTTTCTTCCTGACCTTGCCAAGAAATCGATAGCTAAAACTTACCTAACCTCGCCATCTATTTTTCACAAGAATTTACGACTAAAAGTTTAAAATTTGTTTTTCTTCAGTTAAAAATGCCAGATCGCAAGGGCTGAGTGAGTTTTGTACGTTTTTCTAAGCCAAGGAGAATTTACTTGAACAAAAAAAAACCTTTTTTGTCTTTATATCTATTGTTTTTTTTTATATTTAGGGTTGAACGACACACCCTGTGAGGTGTGGTCAGATCATGAAGTGTCTTGCCATTACACCCCTCTCTTTCTACATTATCATGTGATTTCATCAATGTTGCTTTTTCCCAAGCAAGCAGTAGGACTTAGTCAGTGTGAAATACTGAGTTGTAAAAACAAAAAGTCATAATTACTCAGGCAATACAGTGTTTTAGGATATAAATGAAAGCTCACGATCATGTACCCAGGGAAACTGAACTTCCCCGGAATTTAGCGGTTTGAAACAAACCTTGAGTTATGGCCTTTCAAAAGAGAAATACTGGCTTACTTGACGTTGATAAGAACTGGGCAAAATTGCGGTCCTATGTGCGTTGCATATAAATTCTACGTTTTCTTACTCAGATTTGATTTTTTGTCGTTCATGTTTTTTTAGGGGGGTACAAACTATAAATCTTACAGTTACAAATGGCGGACCTCTTCCTTTCGCTTACGATATTCTGACAGCAGCGTTCGAGTACGGCAACAGGGCATTTACCCAATACCCACCAGACATACCAGACTATTTCAAACAGACTTTTCCTGATGGGTATTCCTGGGAAAGAATCATGGAATTTGAAGACGGCGCCAAATGTGAAGTTAAAAGCGTCATCAGGTTAGTAAAATCTAAAATCTGAGCGCAGTACTCAGAACTCAGTACTTTAGTCTTTTAAGTCGTTCTAGTCCTCCGCCTTTTCATCTAGCTTCGATGTAATTTTTTGCGGTATAAATCGTAGATTCTACCAGTTGAAACTGTCGTTTTTAGCTTTTCTATCGCCTTCATGCTTTGCTATTACTGGCCAGGATAGTGTCATTGTTTTAAAAATGTTTAAATTACAATTGTAAGGCTCTTTTGCAAACTAGCGTTCGTAAAAAGAAAAAAAAAGGGGGGGAAGACAACAAATTTTTATCTTTTATTTATGTAGTGCATAAGATGCTAAGAATGTTTTTGGTATCTTCGCATTGTCGCGTACACTTAATAGTAAATCTCGCCCTTCTTTCATCAGCTTGCCGAAAGCGGGCTGTTTTGAATATAAGATTGTGTTCAATGGGATGGGCTTTCCTCCCAATGGTGCAGTTATGCAGAAGAAGACTGTGAAATGGGAGCCATCCACTGAGATGATGTACATGTGTGGTGGGGAACTGAAGGGTGATGTTAACATGGCCCTGTTGCTTGAGGATGGTAGCCATCACCGATGTGACTTCAAAAGCACTTACAAGTAAGTGTTTACGTCTTAAGTGTTCTGGTGAAACTAACGTAAACAATAGAAAATGTTTTTTGTGCTTGCATACTGATGTACCTCTTGTTTTGCAAAAAGCTGTTATCAGAAGTGCGAATTTTTCTTGCTAAAAATCAAGGGCACCTAAAGACTGATTGTTTTTTAATACGTCAGAAGTGACTTAAGTGGATTTCATTATGATTTAGAATTCTGTTTGGTTAATTTGGAGCTGCCGTACAACTATTAATCCAGTGTTCAGATGTCTTAAGGGAACTTTCGGTCATTTCGATATTTCTAAGCAATATATAGTGCTCCTTGGAGTAGTATATCTTGCAGTAAACGGCAGTTTGGAGTTGGGTACCCTTCTGAAGACGTCACCTTAAGCAGAAAAAAAAGATGCCGCATATTTGTTTAAGAGATCGTCCTTAAGCAGTTGAGGAAATTGATAAATAAGACAGTTAGCTAGATTACTCGAGTTTCCATCCCCCAAAACTTTTCCATTTAGTAAGTGCTTAAGGGATGATCGCGCGCGCAGCAAAGTCTTGACATTTCAACTATAATTAAATTCTCTCAGTGCCAATTAACAAGCCTGCAGCCAATCAGAGCGCGCATTCTATCTTAAGGCGCTTACCATTTGTCAGAACTGGCTGGCCAGACTAGTCCAATCCTAAGGAGAAATGCACTATTAATCAGGGCTATCCAGCCAGATCAGTGTATTCCTAAATGGTATGCTCGGATGTGATGGGCTTTAGTAAAAATAAGGAATAACGAAAAAATTCTATCAAAAGGCATCGGAATTAAGCCGTTAACTTCAGTTGGTAATTTTAGTATTCGGCTAAAATACATGTTCGCGCAACCCGATGAAGTACTGTTTTGTGCTGATCTCAGTTCTTTTCTTTTTTGCAGAGCTAAGAAGCCTGGTATTCAGTTGCCGAAATATCACTACATAGACCATCGCATTGAGATTTTGGAGCAAAAAGATAATTACAACCAGGTTGTGCTGTATGAGAAGGCTGCTGCTCGATATTCTCCGTTTCCAGTTAAGGCCGCCAAATAAATAAAAGGCTTATTAAGGGCGAAGAGAAAAAAAGTCTTTCCGTTTTTAAGGCATGTGCTCAGAATAAGTTTTATTACTTTGCATTCAAGAATTCGTTTCTGGATTTGTTAGAGTATAGCTGTAGAGTTCAAGTAAAACAAAATAATTTTTTTCCCTTTTTTTTTCTTTCTTACTTCTGCAAGATATGATCATAGAGATATAGTTTGTTAAACTCACTTGTGGACAAATACAATTTGAATACTGTAGCTGGGAATTAAACTTGTTGCAGAATTCGGGCTTTGTGGAGGTTCATTTGTTTTGTTTGTTCGGCTTGTTTGAAGGTGTTTTACTGCGGACTTGGAGAGTGACTTTTTTCGTTAATACTGTCAACATATCAGTTAATTTCTTCCTTTGGTTTTTGGAATGCATTGTGGTTGCTTCTAAAAATCTTGTTTCAATTCTTTTGAGACATTTTAGCCCCTTTAAATAATCGATTTTCTAAATTATCTGTTACTGGCAGCGGAGAGATATTTACCTTCAACCAGCTTCTGCCGTTAGCCATAAAAAAGCCAAAATATACCCTTCTAAATTCACAGCTGTTTCTCCTACTGAAAGGGAAGACTGAATGTGATCTTATCGTTTTATATATTCCTCCAAAGATATCCCATCTCTCTCGATGTTCAACTATCAAATAACACTACAATGATGTTTTTAATAGAACCTGTACCCTTGACCTAAAAGTAGATTCTAGCTGTTTAATACGTTACACTGGATATTCATGAGATATTTCCACATGGTTCAGCACAAACTGTGAGACCATTTGACTTACGAGGAATTTTAAAAGTGTATGTTCCGACCCTTCCGTAGCAAAGGCCCGTCAGCGGGAAAAATGTATGGGAGTATCCATCGTTAAGGTTCATTCAGTCGTGAATATGCAATATGTAAGTAGGTTGAGTATGACTGATCCTGCGTTCAAAACTTTCACAATATAGTCAATATACAAATGCAATAACCTTTTTGAAGGAGGCTAAGACGCGTTAACATTTTTACCCCAGTGAGGTTTTCCAACTGAAGGTCTGGTAGATAAAACTGATACCCTGGTTAGTTTAAACGCTGGATAGTGCTATGCACTTAATAAATCGCTATCTGGTGGAGAAATATTCCAACAGTCCAACAGTCCAAGGGCTCATTGTTCTGAGTCTATATTTACCCTTGCGGTGGATAAGTATATTAGGAAGACCCAATGCTCGGATTTATTCCGTGGCGTATACTGCCCTACTGTGGGGCGTTTATCGTGAACTGACTTCTATACGGTATATTAAGAACAGACATAAACCTATTTTTGCGGGAAATACTGTTGAGTATTGTCATTCTTGCAGATGTTTTTTGCTTTGGACCTAGTTGAACTAAAAACTGAATTCCTGGGTTACCTGAAAAGGAGAGTGCTTTGCAGTCAAGTTATTAGCGCAGCCAGCGCGATTGCAAACAACGACGTTAAAATCAAAGAAATAATTTCAAATTTTTGCCGGACGACAAAGTGGCTTGGCCGCTTGCCGCTTGTGCATGAGTTTCGCACTAGTATATCAACTTGGCAAAAGAAAAATATGAGACTGACTGCTCGCAGTATGGGGCTCGCTCAGTACATGTTTAAGAGAGCTGAAATCGTCCCTTTCTTTCCTTGAGGCCAGGGCAGTAAACAGAGGCTCGGACAACCTCGTTCCCAGGGTTCTCTCCTACCTTTGGGGCTCGGATTGTTGGGAAATGCCGGACCAACGCAATGATATACAGGGATTCTATGATTGGTCCATGAGTAAAAATCGATCTGAACAAAATGTCTAAAATGTTTTTGAATATTTGAGAGATACACCCGGTGCTGAGACTTAGGAGAAATAGAAAAAATTAAGTTTCGTTGCAAATTTCAGACAACTGTATATATTTCACTGAGTTTATTAAGATTATTTCTTTCTCAGGTGTGCACAACGACTTTTGTTAGCACGTGAAATAACTGTGCGAAGGGCATTCAGTGCCAAGAAAAACTTCTCGGGGATAAACGTTGCATTTCAATTCCCTCAGTCGACTAAGATATTCGGAGTCTTTCTATTAAAGTCACTACGATTTTGGGAGGTCGTGTTTTCACATTACCAAAATATTGCCAATATTTCAGGTATAAAAAAAGGTTTCAGCACTAGTTTCCCAATTCCCGGATCCCGATGCTGCGACCCCTGATCCCAAAAATATGCAAAAACCTCGTTACATCTGTATCCATTCTGTTACACCTTGTAGCAATCGCATTTTATTTCTTTAATTTATGAGTTAATGCGACGTTTTTTCCGAAATTCTCTTCGAAATCTGAGTGTGATTTTATGGATTTCTTTCATCCCCCAGTTTCCACTCAGAGGAAATCGACCTGAAAATAGCATCTTTATCGCCTTCGATAAAGTGAGCTCTGAAGTGTTACTGTCCCTGAGTCCCGGATGCCCTGAGAGCCTGCTAGGCGACAACAACAACAATAAAAAAGTGACCTTTCGGGTCAACATCACAAACACCTATAACTCATGCACCAATCTTTCGTTGTGGTGTCAAGTAATGCAACGTTGTGTTTTGGAATATCCTAAGGTGATGATCTGTCAGTGCTCTAGTTTTCGTTTCTCATTCAAGAGTCTCGTTGATCTCGCCTTAATCGCACGTAAAAAAGAAGCCTCGATCAAACAAACGTTGCAGGGGCGGATCCAGGATTTTTTTTAGGAGGGGTTGCACTCGACTTTTGCTCTACTTCAACACCAGTAAACCACATCGTTTTTTTTTTTCCAGAATACCAGTTGTATTAGAAAACCGCAGGTCATCTCGGGGGGGGGGGGGCGCACCCCCTGCATCCCCCCCCTAGATCCGCCCCTACGTTGCTATATTTCCTGCATGACTCATGCGAAAATCCTTGTCATCCTTGTCTTTCAATCGGGTCGCGAAAATCAGCGAGCCACGAGAGCCATGCGAGCCATGAGAAGAAATATAGTTTTACGAAATTGTAAATGCATGAAAAATGTTTCCTGCTTAGTTCCGAGGTTTTGCTGATGGAATATTGTTTAGAATTACGCAGTATTGATCGACTTTCACTGATTAGGGTTAAGTGCTCAGTCTTTACTGACTAGGGTTAAGCACTTGCCTTTATACGGATTATACGGTCAAGCACTGCTTAGGGTTAAGACCCTTTTTAGGGATTAGGGTTAAGCGCTTTTTCGTTTATTTTTTTTTTCGCAATACTTGACTTTGCCCTCAAGGGAAGTTTGGGAAGTGATGCATGTGCCGCCGTCAACACATAAACACGGGGGGTGACAACTCTAACAAGGGCTGTTTCGGGAGAAAAACAAATTTATTCCGGGAATCTGGAGATTTTGCCGGGAATCGGGAAACCTGGGAAATTTTTCGGGAAATATGAGATATTTTCGGGACATTGAGCAAAGATTTGATATTACATGTCATCAAACAATATATATGCAGTGATATGCACCCAGTGTATGCGCTGTATTCTATGTATTTTGACACTTGAAAACGGCTGAACTCCCCATTATATGAAAAGACCAATCAGCAACGTTTCCAACTAAAATAGCAAGAAGTTCGAGTGCGATTGACCACGTGGCAATCGCCAGCGGATTGATACAAGAACCGTACCGGTGCAAGGCACATACTATCAGTTCACACCAGATCCCATCATTCATTAGTTCAGGGGTATTTTTACGCTGCACGTTAACGAGTTTTAAGAGCACATTCAACTGATTGCATACTGGAAAACTTGAAAGAAGTACGTAAGAAGTATGTACGAAAAAAACGAAACTCATTCAACCTTGCTAAACACAAATGAGGCCATAAAAAGTAGTATGTCTGTGAAGACTCTTTAATCATCCTGATCTCGTCGGGGTCCTTCCGATTTTGCTCGAAAATCCCGAATCCCGATCAATATGCGTTCGGGATAGGAAAATTTCAGATTTCGACAGTTGTTCTGAAATTTTCAAATGAATTCTTATGATATTTATACAATGACACCACACAGAGTATACTTAGCTGAAAGTGATATTCAGAGCAATTTCAAAAACCGCACAACTTGTACAAAAATAAAATTGACTACTGTGACGATAGGTTTTGCCCTTCCAGCAACGAATCGGGGAATTGAGCGTAAAGAGAACTCGGGAGACTTCGGCGTACGAACAACAAGGGGGAAAACTAACTCGCAACTCGCTTGGCAAGCGGGAAAGGAACTCGTCACAATTCCAAGGTACCGGATCTGCTACAACTGGAAACAGTACAGGACTCAAGCTTGGACTTCAACAGTTTAATCTTCCGCTCGTTAACGTAACTTGTACAATCAATTAAATCCGCAATGTAAAATCGTACAAGCCTGTAACTCCGGCCCGCAATGTAAATCGTACAAGCTTGTAACTCCGGCCCGCAATGTAAATCGAAAAACAGGAATAATCAGTGCTCTATTTATAACAACCGATCAACCCACTACAACATCACAAAACAAAAGGAAAGAAGGCTGAATAAAATCAGCTGAACAGCGAAAACAAATCTGGACAAACTCAGTTTAAAACTTCATATGCTAAACTAAATAGCTCAAATTAAATGTCAGTCAAGCAACTGAATTTAGGAAGTTTACAAAGAAAGCTGTGTAAAATAATTCGAGTTTCCTTTGCTCAGGATCCCTCAAAATGTCAAAACTAAAAACTACGAACGGTTGGTATTTGAACAGGCGAAAGATCCAGTTATTCAATGACTAAGCTGTATAATTATTCAGAAACAAATTATCCTTTTAAAAGTAAACTTTGAAGTAAAATGTGCATAATTTAAGGGAACTAAAACAACTCAATGCAAATTCAATGTAAATTACGGCTAACACAACTTCAAAGGGAATATTTAAAAGCTAGATATGAAATTCGAATCAAATAAAGAATAAATGGAAAATCTCTCCTTACACTACTTCTACGCGAAGACACGCCAATAAAAATAAGCAGAGAAAGGACAATTGATTTAGAGAACATTTTGGACAGAATTTGTCCTCTCAGAACACTAGAAATGGCGTTTCAGAGCACCAAGATTTCAAAATTTCGGCTGGGGGAGCATGCCCCCAGACCCCCCTAGTGGTTGGCCCCTTCACTGCTCGCCTGGTTCATCGATGATTAAAAAACAAAAAAAAAAAAACGATTTTATATACTTAAAAAGTTTGACAGTCTTTCTGTGTTAACATGATACCCCCTAAACGAAAAAATAACTAAGGTTAGATAATTAACAAGTTACATAATTAACAAGAAGCTACAAAAAATCTCTAATCAAGATTTTAATTTTACTTGTTAAAACAATTTTGGGGAGTTAAACATTTATGGGAATTGATCGAATGCCACCGAAAAATTCGGGAGGGTCGACGAAATTTCCGGGAGGACATAAAGTTATTCATAGGACTGCCCAAACAGCCTTTGTTAGAGTTGTCACCCCCCGTCAACAGACCTTTTTCATGACCCTACAGTTCATTTCGTTTTGCATCGGTAGAAATATGTTATTTTGTCAAGCTAATATATAGATTTAGCCAGGGCTAAAAGCGAGGCTCCCATTAGTAAATTTATAATTTAAATTAAACAATAAACTTGTATTCGAATTCCATTAGAGAAAAATAATTTGCAAACAGCCCAAGAGTGAACCAAATCTTACATCGAGTTGATAGCCTCATATGTACACTCAAAAACTGGTAATCATCTTTTATCACATTTAAGAGCCGTAATGGCTATTGATCACCGTAGATCAATTAGGCTTAGAAAAAAAACCAGGCCAACGTTTTGGCGTTCGACAAGTTTACTTTGCAAAATCTTGCCAACAAATCTGGGTGCCTGTAAACCAACCTTTTATACCATGGACAGAAAGCAGTATTTCACAATACAAATTGCTCTTATTCAATATTCATAAACTGTTAAAAAAATTTTCCAAAATCACCTATACGGCCATCCGGTTCTCACTTTTGTAGTGCGAGCTGTAGCGAGTGTTTGAATGAACATTAACAGAGTTACGCTCCAAGATAATAAAGAATTTATCATGTTTATTTTTTATTTGATGGTTTAACGCGCGGCATTTTGAGAACTCCTGCAAGCGATGTTCACTGAACGACTGAAAACAATCGGCATAGCGATTAAAATTGCAAGAGAGACTACTAACAATCAATAAAAGAAATATAATTCGGTGAAACATAAACAGAGACAACAATTTTCATTCAGGAAGACAAGTATTAAAGTGTCCCTAAATATCCTGAATCTTCAAGCTTCAAGCTTAAGTTTGCTGAAGTTTATGTTTTAAGCCAGCTTCCCGGTGTTTGTTTTTTCAAAGACGAACTCGAGGCAAGAAAATCGCTCAAAGCTTTCTTTTCCGGCTGGAATTATAACTAAAGATTCTTTGGAACATTTTCTTTCTATTTGCGGTGAGAAACTGTCTAAAGGCTTTTTAAAGTTCTGTAAAATTATATCAAACCAGATACTCGGTGAGATCGTTGTCTCAAATCTTACAAACGCGCATAAACTAAATTCCCGCATAAACTACGCTCCACTTCATTAAATTAGATACAAAAAACAAACATGAAATACAATAATTTCTCTGGCTTACCATTCGAGATTCAGCTCCTGAAAGTTATCAGGTAAAGCCAGTATCGCTTCAGACTTTGCAATCCTCTTACGCATCAAGCAAGGTGAAAACGAAAACGATGCCATCCGAAATCGGATTTCCGACTTTGACAAGCGACGTTTTCTCAACCAAAAACCCAATAAACAAACTAGCCATGAGTAACAGAAGACTCCTGATAACAGCTGAATTTCATTTTGTACATCCAGTGGAAAAAGACAGTTAAAAACATCACAAGTTGACACAAAACTCTGTCAGCTTCAGCTGTCAAAGTAAACAAGATTCAAGATGCTGCATAAATTTTGCGCATGAACTCACCTGTCAAATTTTGACCAATCAGAGCATAAAAATTGGACGTAGAGCGTGACCAACGCGTGACCATTGTGAGAAAAAACAAAAGCAACTGTCTTCCCTGCCTGTAACAGCTGGCTGAATTTTCACGTCCGATGTCAGTTTGCAATCAAAATTTTAATTGTGCAGCACATAAACACAACACATTTCATATGAATTAAGAAAAAAAATTGAACTTGAGCCTGCGATTATTTGAAAACTAGTTTACTTGTCAGCGGATAACTTCAAAAAATACTTGACCTCGACGGGTCGACACCTGAGCCCGCGATACGGTCAAGTGATACTGGTCAGCGGTACTCTGTTTTGACAGCTGTCAATTGATCAAAACATTGATGTCTAATATGTGTGCATTATCAGTTTTCCTGTGCTCCCAAACTAGTAAAAGTATGAGATTGAACGTTGTTCGCGATCTAGTAAAACAGTTAACTGGTCAGCGGACAGCTTCCAAATAAATCACGTCACCTCGATGAGTTGACACATGAGCCCGCGATATGGTCATGGGATACTGGTCAGTGGCTATCCTGTTTGGACAGCTGTCAATTGACCATATTGTTAATGTCCTATATTAACGATGTGGACTTGCCAAGACACGCCTGAGACACCCCTCCCTTCCTTTTGATAGTCTCCCCTACCCCACCCATACAATCTGTAGACGCGTACGTACGTACGCTCGGTCAATCACGTGACAACCAAACGAAAAGAGGTTGACCATATTCCATGGGTATGGGGCTCTGTCCAACGCGCGCTTCGCGCGCGCGGGAGCCCCGCTATTAACATCACGGAATGTTTCAGTATCATTAAACCTTTCGAAGGCTTTGGGTGTAAAAAGACACCCGGGCCCAACGCTAACTCAGTAGTCAGAGTAGTGAAATTGAGATTGTCCCTCCCCTCCCCTGGCGTTAGACAATTGCACTTGTTGCAGTCTTCGGAGGTACACGTATTTCAAAGAAAAGTTGAGATTGTCCCATATCGTCATCTCATATTTTCTTGGTGTTCTTTACTGCATGTTTTTTTTTTCTTTCGATTAATATTTAATACTCTCCAGAGGTACCTTCATTGAAAAAAAAGTTTATCACATACAACTATCTCAAATTCTATTTTAGATGTTATTTTAATAGATAACATAAATTCGTGTATCCTGGGTGCCACCAGAGGCTTTGCGAGAAAAAAACCTCTGGTAAAATTCGTGCCCTCTGCGTTACACCCTCATTTGGCGGTCTTGTTTAATCACCCGGCCGTTAACTCATGATCATGAGCACGTATTCTTAAAAAAAGTAAAATATCACGTGGTGTGACCCTTCTAAAATGCCGGGAGCAATGCATGAAAGGTCGCTTGTAAGCGTTGAACATCGCCCATCGTCTCGTTTAATTTAAAGCTCAGCACGCCTCTATTTTACTTAGGTAATTAAAATTTACGTGCGTAATGACGCGCGTAGCCGAAAACGCGTCAGTGGAAATCAACCTTATAAACTAAAATATAAACAAATGGAACAAATGATAGAAGTGCTGATTGCAAAAAAATATATATTTTTCTAAAGTTCGCGAAAAAAGGCTACAATTTTCTGGATAAACGTGCCCTGATATTCGGAATCTTTCTACAAACCAAACGGAGGTTGTGTTTTTCACATTTTTTCACCAAAAAATTGAGAAAAAGAATTGTTAATTGCCTTTCGAGTTAGACTTTCTTGTGGCCTTATGCAGGTTCTTTAAAAATTTGCAACGAGTGGCGGAACGTCCATGAACAGATTCAATTTTCAAATAAACGCTTCCGATTCAGCTACAATATAGGTAAATAAAATCTTGACCTGTCTCAGGACTTCAAGATATCGCATAGATGATGAACTAGCAGGATAAGTCTTTCTTTTGCCGCAGAGCATGTAATAGACGTTATGTAATAGACTACTCATGCTGCTTTTCTCGGCAGAAAAAGAACATGCGTAAAGTTGAAAAAAAAATAGAGCGAAAACATATTCTGAGGAGTTGACGAGATCAAGAGATCATAAGTAATATTGTAATACAATTTGGCTGTGAAGTCGATAGATGTCTTTTTTAAAGTTACATTACCTAGTTATAAAACAGACTTACGCCTCAACTGTTTGTAACTAACCAACATTTAAGTAGCACATGGCTGTAGATAAGGGCCTTTTGATCGAACCTTCGTGCCCCCTGTGGATAAGTAGATAAAGGGGCGTGGAGACTGGTGGCATTTGAGACTGGAACAAAGTTATTTTCAAAAAGTATATTAAAGTTTAAGCAGAACAGAACTACTGTTCTAAAAACTATGTATCTCTGCGTGTACAAAACCTTTTTTCTTTTTCTTTTTTTCTTTTTTTTTGTTCCAAGCAAGTTTTTTCAGTTCGGGTGTGAAAATGACTGTTTGCAACCATATCATCGTTACTCTACATGTAATTTAACTCAAGCATACAAGATGATACAAGGTCAGCAAGTTTAACCCCTCTTTTTCTCGATTAAGAGCGGAACGCGCTACATTACTTGCGCGTGAGACACCCTAGAAGGTATCCGGTAATCTAATACATTCTCTAGAAGTTAATTATAAGTATATCTCAAATTCCTTTTTAGTTATTGCAAAAACGCAGACATCACAAAATTATGCGTGTCGTCTGCGTTTGTCTGTAGGGAATCTCCTTTGGCGGTCTTCTAAGTTGTTTAATCACCCATTAATTAACAGAGTAGTCGTACTAAAAAAAAAATAAATAAAATTCCGCGTGGTTTGAACCTACACTAAAATGTAAGCCAATGCAAATACACATTAATAGAGGTGTATGGCAAGCCAAATGTAGCAATATTTAATTCGTTTAATTTTATATGTAGTTTTGTATTGTGTGTTCAACTATGCGTTTAATATTCAACTTATATTCAACATTCAACGCGTTATTCAATATTTAAATTCGCATTCAACATTCAACTATTTATTTTATATTCAATTCCTTATTTACCCATTCAATTATCTATTCAACAATTTCAACCATTTATTCAACATTCAACTTTAATTTTTAAAACATTCAACTATTCATTTAACATTCAACTTTAATTCAACATTCAACTATTCATTCAACATTCAACTATTCATTCAACATTCAACTATTCATTCAACATTCAACTATTCATTCAACTCTTTTGAGCCCTCACTACTTCTGGTCAGTGACACGGATCATTGCTCCTTAAAAACATGGTGGCGGTGGCGGCTAGAATGCCAGCTACGGAGATAGAAGCTTATGAAGATGACACAAGGCTGCACTTCGATGTGGAGTCTGACTTTCCAAGGTTTCTTGACTCGGTTTTACGAAGGACTGACCAGATTTCCCAGACGAAAGTGGATGATGAAATTGTGGAGCAGCATATTGTCGTTGTCGATCAAACGGTGCGTTTGCTTTGTATACCCAGGTATACGCCGAGACAGCAGTTCGAATATTAACGCCTATGACAAAGAAACCTCAGATAATCTCTCATCAGCATTCAGTGATGTCGATCAGCCCTGCAGCAATGTTTAGCCAGAGCAGCCGTGTCTCCCATCACAATTGTATGGGTATGACCCAGAGGGCCCCTCTCCTTCGGAAGAAGATAACAACGTTGTTGTCGAATCAATTTCTTTAGATAAAAGGCATTCAATAGAGTGCTATGTGTTGGATGCTGTTGACCCTCTAACCCAGTCCACTCAACTGGGTATCGATCTTTGTATTCAAGCCCTAGACCTGGTCAGGGATAGAATGGAATGATAGTTAGATCTCCCTGGAACAGAAAATTACTACCCAGACGTGAGGAGGACAGGCTCCTATGTAAAAGTGATCAGGATGCTTGTGAGGGAAATTACAACTACACCCCTAAAAAAAAACAATGTGGGTAGGGATCGGGCTTTATTTGACCCCTAGGAAGATGCTCATTTTTTGACAAGTCTGAAAAAAGGCAGGTGCATGTTCAATTGTTTAAATTACTACTAATAATATAATAGGACTTAAAGATAATGCTTGTGCAGAGTATCTGGGGTTTCCACTTTCACCAGCGAGCCCACCAAAGAACATTTCTCATGGGAGTCTGAGAAAATGAATGTCAAATTTCACAAAATTACATCTTACACTTGAAATTTTCAGAATTTTACCCATGTTTTTACAATTCTTGTGAATTCTTAGTAGTAATTTTCTGTTCCAGGGAGATCTAACTATCATTCCATTCCAGGTTTAGGGCATGAATATAAAGATCAATGCCCAGATGAGTGGACTGTGCTAGAGGGTCCACAACATCTAACACATAGCACTCTATTGAATGCCTTTTATCTAAAGAAATTGATTCGACAACAACGTTGTTATCTTCTTCTGAAGGAAAGGAGCCCTCTGGGTCATACCCACACAATAATATTGTGGTGGGAGACGGCTGCTCTGGCTAAACATTGCTGCAGGGCTGATCGACATCACTGAACGCTGGTGAGAGATTATCTAAGGTTTCTTTGTCATAGGCGTTAATATTCGAACTGCTGTCTCGGCGTATACCTGGGTATACGAAGCAAACGCTCCGTTTGATCGACAACGACAATATGCTGCTCCACAATTTCGTCATCCACTTTCGTCTGGGAAATCTGGTCAGTCCTTCGTAAAACCGAGTCAAGAAACCTTGGAAAGTCAGACTCCACATCGAAGTGCAGCCTTGTGTCATCTTCATAAGCTTCTATTTCCGTAGCTGGCATTCTAGCCGCCACCGCCACCATGTTTTTAACAAGCAATGATCTGTGTCACTGACCAGAAGTAGTGAGGGCTCAAAAGAGTTGAATGAATAGTTGAATGTTGAATGAATAGTTGAATGTTGAATTAAAGTTGAATGTTGAATGAATAGTTGAATGTTTTAAAAATTAAAGTTGAATGTTGAATAAATGGTTGAAATTGTTGAATAGATAATTGAATGGGTAAATAAGGAATTGAATATAAAATAAATAGTTGAATGTTGAATGCGAAGTTGAATATTGAATAACGCGTTGAATGTTGAATATAAGTAGAATATTAAACGCATAGTTGAACACATAATACAAAACTGCATATAAAATTAAACGAATTGAATATTGCTACATTTGGCTTGCCATAGAGGTGCTAACTGTAAAAAAATCCTACAGTTCGGAGAGATCACAAATTTCTGGTTGACCGTTTCATCTTATATTCGTAGTCTTTCTGCAAACTTACGATTTTCCGGAGTTGTGTTTTTCAAATTTTCATGATGACCAAAATACTGGGAGGCTACTTGACAATTGTTAAAAGAATTATCTAAAATTGCGCTTTGGAGATTGACTATTTAAGTTATTATGAAGTTTTAAAAAACGACTCAGTGGCGTACGTCCGTGAAAAGATTCAATTTTCAAAGAAACGCTTCCTTCAGCTACAATTTGGCGACTAAAATCTTGACCTGTCTTGACTTTAAGATATCACATGGATAATGGGCAAGCAGAAAAAGTCTTTCTTTTGCCACACTGTGTTATGTAATAGACTTTATTTGATAGACTACCCATGCTGCTTCTCTCTGCAGAAAGGCAACATGTCAGGGGTAAAGTTGAAAAAACCGCGAAAACATAAAATGAGGACCTTTCGAGATCGAGAGATTGTCCTTAGTAAAGAATTTGGCTGTGAAGATAGATGTAGTTTTTGTTTTACTTATTTCAACTCCTTATGAAACAAAACACCTCAATTGCAATTGTTGCGATTCTAGCTACTTTACAAACTTAAAAATAGAATTGTTTCAAGTGGCGTTTTTAATTAAAATATGAAATAGACTGAAACTTTCGGCCCCCTGTGGATATATGGCCAAAAAAGGGGGAGGAGACAGCTGACTTTTTAGACTGGAACAAATTTTTTCATATGCAAACCAAAACAGAACAGTCTAACAATTTGTTTGTTTGATCGAGATTTGATGCCATATTGAAGCTTTAGTTTTCTGACCCAGGCCTGCTTCTGACCGAAATATTATTAATAAAGTAAGGTTCACTCTATCAAAAAGACAAATTTTTGACCGCCTGTTTTTTCGTTTACTCTGCTGGTGAAATGTATGTAATTAACAATAGAATCATATTTAATCGGTGTTCTCACTAGCCTGCGAGCCGCAGACGTATTTCCGGTCTTTAAGTCTCTATGTTCTCACTTTCTGTGAGTAATCTATGACCTCCGCCTTCCTGTGTCACCAGGAAAACCACAGGAATTCAATTCAGTTGGTTCATTATTTTGAAATGTTAAAACGCTTTATTTTTAATTGAACATGTATCCTTGACCTTTCTCTTTCGCCTGTGGCAAATCGTAGATTTCACCATAGACTGTGACACCACAGAGGTCCACACAGACTGTAACGACCGTTTGTTTGTTTGACTTAAAAGGAATTTTAAAAATGTTTGTGAATATCGATAAGGTTCAGATAATCGTAATACACAGTACATTTGCTTAAAGAGGCAGACGTGATAACCTTTCTCAGGCAGTATCTTACGGCCTTCTAAACATTCATGTGATGAATATGTATCAGTATATTTTAAAAAGAATCGCCATAAACGTAATTTGGGGGATAAAATACTACCCCCTAACAGTGTACTCCGAAAATCATTTTTGTAGTTAAAAACGCTGAATGTATTGATTTGAAGGCATGCAGGTCTTTGCATTGGACGTTTGGACTTAAGAAGATCGAATTTCTGGGCGCAACACATGTCTAAACAATTCGTCATTTGAATTCCTTGAGAACAGAGCACTCTTTCCTCCGCAGAGGTTCTCGCTGGGCATTCAAATATAAATAGCAATAATAATAATAATGGAGACTTTTTTTGTGTTTGTAAATCTCGCTACGTATAGGCAATTTACAAATGCTGCTTGAGATTGGATTATTAGAGTCTGGGCTATCCCAGTTCCTTATTTCTACAACAAAAGATGTAATATGCTATCTCTAATGGCTATATTTGTCATAATAATAATAATAATAATAATAATAATAATAATAATAATAATAATAATAACTTGGACTGAGAGCACGGGGCGTACTTGAGCGGATGCAGAAGTCGGTCATCTCAAACACTTTGAACATTGCCAGAGCATTTAAGATAAATGCTTAGTTAGGGCGCTAAGGACTCCAGTTTTTAGGTTTTTTTTTTCTTCCTCTAGAAATCCACAAACACAAGTTTGCTGATGTTTTTACTAAGATTTTTTAGAGTATTAGAGTTTGATGTTATTCTAAATAGGCTTTTACTGGAGATAACCATGTCATGATGGCCTTGTTTAGGTATATAAGAGATCGTGAGAGTATAAAAACTGAATAATTTTCTAAACAGGCTTCTAGTAGAGATAATTATATCATCATGTCTTTGCGTAGGTTTTACAGAGTATAAGAATTTAATAATATTCTAAATTGACTTTCTAAGTAGAGAGACTCATATCATTATGTCTGTTAGGATTGTATTAGGTCTCGCACCGACCTGTTTTTACTTCTAAGTATAGCTTCGCAAGTGGTGTAGGTTACGTCAAGCGCCCTATACTACTCATAATGTGGACAGCATTCCAAAGTTTTATACTGCGAGATAATAATAATAATAATAATAATAATAATAACAATAATAATGATAAACAGTAAGCGCGTACCTGTTGACGCAAAATAAGGGATGGAGTGCCCGCCCCCTCTCCGTGGGCGTTAAACAGCTGTTTCAGGTTCTTTGGAGGTCAAAAGCTGGAGATAACAGTGAATCTCATATAATAATCTTATATTTTCTTTGTGTTCTGTACTGGGTTCTGTCTCTCTTTTTTTCTTCGATTAATACACTCTCCAGAAGTGCCTATATGTTAAAAAATCTTTAAACTAAATTATCACATATTACTATCTCAAATTCTTTTTTAGTTGTAGTTAATTAAATAGCCTTCGGCGATTTTGTGAAATCGATAACAAGGTCTTCCCAAAAGTTGTTTAATCACCCGTTAACTGAGCATGTATACCTAATAAAACATATTTCGTGGTTTGAGCCTAAAACGTGAAATAAATAATAGAAGTGTTTATTGCATTTCTAAAGTTCGGAAAGGTTAAAAACGTTTGGATAATAACCGTTCCATGCTCACGTTAAAGCCCTGGGCTTATATCAGGTACTACAAGCTCACTCTATAAATAGAAAACGGGTGTGAAAAAGCAACACTGATGTATGAAGTTCGGAAAAAAGAGCGAAAACATAAAATGAGGACCTTTCGAAGATCGAGAGATTGTCATTAGTAATAATGTGATAGAATTTGGCTTTGACAGACTGTATTTTTTTTCTACTCGTTATAAAACTAAAAAAAGAGCCTCGATTGTTGTTTGCGATTATAGCCTGACTTTACAAACTTTAAAATAGCATTGCTTTAGAGAAAGAAATGAAGGCCGTCTGCATCTTTGTATCCCCTGTGGATAAGTTGATAAAGGGCGTGGGAACTGCTGGCATTTCACACTGGAACAATTTAAAAAATAAACACACAATATAATTAAGCCGAAGCAGAACAGAACCGCTCCTGTTCTAAAATCTATGTATCTCTGCATGTACAAATTCTAATTGTTTTTTCGAAGCAATTTTCATTAAAATCGGTTGTGAAAATGACTGTTTGCTACCATATTGTTTCTCAACAATGATGCAATTTAACTGAAGCATACAAGATGATACAATTGAAAGGTCAGCAAGTTTGACCCCACCCAGTTTTTTTACTCTCAGTGTTGATGATATTCATGCTGCATCGGTTTTAGACATGGTATGATAGACATATTATTCTCCGTATTATAAAATGTTAGCTTTGTTTCAAAGACTTTCTGGTTCGTGATTGGTTGAAGTAAATTTCGGGTGTGACATTCAGTTTTATAGCAGCCCTCTCAAAGCCCAGCTGCCATTCACTCTGGTTATTTGGAAGAGAGCAGATCGAAAACAACAAGAGCTGTAAGGTTTATATCTTACTTCAAGTTTATCATTATGGTAAGTTCTAGACAGGAAAAGCCTTTTACAATGTATTTTATTAATTCTTATTGTTTGTTTTACTCACGACTCAACTTTACTTCCAATTCTTGACGGATCATTGATCTAGTTTCGCCAAAATTATTTCTATTCTGCAGACTGCAACAAAAGACGTGAAAGATGAAATGAAGATTAAGCTTCATATGGACGGTGACGTTAACGGGTACAAGTTCAAGATTGAAGGAAATGGACAAGGAAAGCCTTACGAGTAACTAAAAACTGAGTTAAATCATTGTAACCAGGTTTCTGACCACATTGCTCGAAACTGGTATGTTTACATTTTTGGTTTTGCTTAATTGTGTGTAACAGATTAACCACCAAAAATTAGTCTGACCTGTCTTTCAGCTATAGCACTGTAGACAAAATATGCTGTCTTAGCTTCCTAGCCTTTGATCGTTATGACAAAGAACTAAAAACCTACGAAAGTCTTAGTAAGAAAACCTTTTAGAAGTTTCTTCCTGACCTTGCCAAGAAATCGATAGCTAAAACTTACCTAACCTCGCCATCTATTTTTCACCAGAATCTACGACTAAAAATTTTGTTTTTCGTCAGTTAAAAATGCCAGATCGCAAGGTCTGAGTGAGTTTTGTACGTTTTTCTAAGCCAAGGAGAATTTACTTGAAAAAAAAAACAACCCTTTTTTGCCTCAACATTGTTATTTAGGGTTGAACGACACACCCTGTGAGGTGTGTCAGATCATGAAGTGTCTTGCCATTACACCCCTCCCTTTCTACATTATCGTGTGATTTCGGCCATGTTGCTTTTTCCCAAGCAAGCGGTAGGACGGACTCAGTATGAAATACTGGGTCATTTATACAGTGTTTTAGGATATATATGAAAAAAACAAGAAAAGTCATTTACTTGAGTTATGGCCTTTCAGACAACTGGTTTACAGTGTTTTAGGCTTTATACTATTATATAGGTTTTGAAAGACCCCCTCACGATCATGTAACTTTGTATGGGGAAACATGAAAACTGTTCCGCAGGAATTTAAAAGTTTTTGGTTTCCAAAAAACCTTGAGCAAAATGGCCAAATAAATGGTTTCAGAAAATAAAAAGAGAAATACTGGTTTACTTGACGTTGATGCTAAAGAGAAAAGAACTGGGCAAAATTACGGTCCGGAAATTGTATAAGTTTGTTCTGTTGTTGTGCGGCCAGGTAGACCATATGAATCCGCGACGAATACTTTGTGCGTTGCATATAAATTCTACGTTTTCTTACTCAGATTTGATTTGTCGTTCATGTTTTTTTTAGGGGAGTACAAACTATAAATCTTACAGTTACAAATGGCGGACCTCTTCCTTTCGCTTACGATATTCTGACAGCAGCGTTCCAGTACGGCAACAGGGTATTTACCCAATACCCACAAGACATACCAGACTATTTCAAGCAGACTTTTCCTGATGGGTATTCCTGGGAAAGAACCATGGAATTTGAAGACGGCGCCAAATGTGAAGTTAAAAGCGTCATCAGGTTAGTAAAATCTAAAACCTGAGCGCAGTACTCAGGACTCAGTACTTTAGTCTTTTAAGTCGTTGTAGTCCTCCGCCTTTTTCATCTAGCTTTGATATAATTTTTTCGCGGTCTAAATCGTAGATTCGACCAGTTAAAACTATCGTTTTTAGCTTTTCTATCGCCTTCATGCTTTGCTATTACTGGCCAGGATAGTGTCATTGTTTTAAAAATGTTTAAACTAGAATTGTAAGGCTCTTTTGCAAACTAGTGTTCGTAAAAAGAAAAAAAAAGGGAAAAAAAAATTTTATCTTTTATTTATGTAGTGCATAAGTTGCTAAGGATGTTTTTGGTATCTTCACATTGTCGTGTACACTTAATAGTAAATCTCGCCCTTCTTTCATCAGCTTGCCGAAAGCGGGCTGTTTTGAATATAAGATTGTGTTCAATGGGATGGGCTTTCCTCCCAATGGTGCTGTTATGCAGAAGAAGACTGTGAAATGGGAGCCATCCACTGAGATGATGTACATGTGTGGTGGGGAGCTGAAGGGTGATGTTAACATGGCCCTGTTGCTTGAAGATGGTAGTCATCACCGATGTGACTTCAAAAGCACTTACAAGTAAGTGTTTACGTATTAAGTGTTCTGATGAATCTAACGTAAGCAATGGAAAACGTTTTTTGTGCTTGCATACTGATGTACCTCTTGTTTTGCAAAAAAGATGTGATCAAAGTGCGAATTTTTCTTGCTAAAAATCAGGGGCACCTAAAGACTGACTGTTTCCCTGAATACGTCAGAAGTATCTCAAATGGATTTCTTTATGCTTTAGAAGTCTGTTTGGTTAATTTGGAGCTGCCGTACAACTATTAATCCAGTGTTCAGATGTCTTAGGGGAACGTTTGGGTCATTTCGAGATTTCTAAGCAATATTCAGTGCTCCTTGAAGTAGAATCTTGCAGAAAACGGCAGTTTGGAGTTGGGTACCCTTCTGAAGACGTCACCTTAAGCAGAAAAAAAAATGATGCAGCATATTTGAAAATATCGTCCTCAAGCAGTTGAGGAAATTGATAAATAAGACAGTTAGATTAGTCAAGTTTCCATCTCCCAAAACTTTTCCAATTGGTACGTGCTTATTAATAAGGGATAATCGCCCACTTTGCAAAATCTTGTCTGACATTTCAACTATAGTTATATTCCCTTAGTGCCAATTAACAAGCCTGCTGCCAATCAGAGCGCGCATTCTATCTTAAGGCGCTTACAATTTGTCAGAAATGGCCGGCCAGACTAGTCCAATCCTAAGGAGAAATGCACTATTAATCAGGGCTATCCAGCCAGATCAGTTTATTCCTAAATGGTATGCTCGGATGTGATGGGCTTTAGTAGAAATTTCGAGGAAAGACTAACTGCTCCTGACTTTAATTTGCAAAGCACCCTTATTTAGTTACTCTATAATAAGGAATAAGCAACAAAAATTCTATCAAGACACCGGAATAATAAGCCGTTAACTTGTAATTTTAGTATTCGGCTAAGATACATGTTCGCGCAACCTGATGATGTACTGTTTTGGGCTGATCTCAGTTCTTTTCTTTTTTGCAGAGCTAAGAAGCCTGGTATTCAGTTGCCGAAATATCACTACATAGACCATCGCATTGAGATTTTGGAGCAAAAAGATAATTACAACCAGGTTGTGCTGTATGAGAAGGCTGCTGCTCGATATTCTCCGTTTCCAGTTAAGGCCGCCAAATAAATAAAAGGCTTAAAGGGCGAACAGGAAAATAGTCTTTCTGTTTTTAAGGCATGTGCTCGGAATAAGTTTTGTTACTTTGCAGTCAAGAATTCGTTTCTGGATTTTTAGAGTATAGCTGTAGAGTTCAAGTAAAACAAAATAAGTTTTTTCCCTTTTTTTTTTCTTTCTTACTTTTGCAAGATTTCATCATAGAGATAGAGTTTGTTAAACTGATCACTTGTAAACAAATACACTAAGAATACTGTTAGGTAGCTGGGTATTAAACTTGTTGCAGAATTCCAGCTTTGTGGAGATTCATTTGTTTTGTTATTTCGGCTTGTTTGAATGTGTTTTACTGCGGACTTGGAAAGTGACTTTTTTCGTTAATACTGTCAACATATCAGTTAATTTCTTCCCTTGGTTTTTGGAATGCATTGTGGTTGCTTCTGAAAATCTTGTTTCCATTCTTTTGAGACATTTTAGCCGCTTTAAATAATCAATTTTCTAAAATATCTGTTACTGGCAGCGGAGAGATATTTACCTTCAACCGGCTTCTGCCGTTAGCCATGAAAGCCAAAATATACCCTTAAAAATTAACAGCCACCGCTTAGAGACCCTCTTTTAGAACAGTGGTTACTGAACGGGAAGGCTGGATGTCCGTGATCTTATCGTTTTCTTAATTCCTCCAAGGATATCCCATCTCTCTCTCTCTCTGACTAAAACCTGTCATTAAAAAACACGTTCAACTTACAAGTAACCCTGTAATGATGTTTTCAACAGAAACTGTACTCTTGACCTAAAAGCAGATTCCAGCTGTACGTGTACGTTACACCGGTTACTCATCAGATTTTTCAACATACTTCCGCACAAACCGTACGTGAGACCATTTGACTTATGAATTTTAAAAGTGTGGTTCACTCATAGCAAAGGCCTGCCATCGGGAAAAATGTATATTTCTATGGGAGTATTCATCGTAAAGGTTCATTCAGTCGTGAATATACAGATAAGTATGTTGAGTATGATCCACAATATAGGGAATATACAATACAATAACCTTTTCTGAAGGAGAAGACGTCATAACGTTTTTACCGGTTTTACAACTTGAGACCTGGCCATGGTTGTTTAAACGTTGGATAGAGCTATCCATCGGACAAATCACTATCCAGCGGATAAGTATTAGGACTAGCGATTGCACTGTACACTGGATAGAGATTTATCCACCTTTTGAACAGCTGGGCTCTGGTTGATAAAACTGATATTACTTTCGACAGTCCAAGCGCTCATTGTTCCGGTCCATATTTTACCCTTGCAGTGGATAAGTATGTTAGCCGCGAAAACCCAATGCTAGGATTTATCCTGTGAGGGATACCGTTCAACTGGGGCCTTTATCATGAATATATATATACGGTATTATTAAGAGCAGACATAAACCTATTTTTGCGGGAAATACCGTTGAGAATTGTACATTCTTGTCAGTAAAAAACAGCGAATATAGCCGGATTTGCCGATTTGAAGTCAAATTTTTTTTGTTTGTTTTTTGTTTTGCATTGGACGCTTGAAGAGAAAAACTGAATTTCTTGAGGAAAAAGGATTGTTGCGTTTCGAGTAAAACTTTCTTGTCACCTGAAGGTTGTGTACTAGGTTGTTATGCAGGAATTGTTGAAAAATTTGTAACGAGTGGCGGTGCGTCCGTGAACAGATTCAATGTTGAAATAAACGCTTCATTTAATAGGTGACTAAAATATTGAGCTGTTTTGACTTCAAGATATCATATGGATGATGAGCTAGAAAGAGCGATGAGGCTTCTTTGCCTATCCACGTATTGTAAAAGACTACTCATGTAAAGGTCATAAGTGTTAATTTCTCTTTTATCTACGTATACATAACTATTAAAAAAATAAGAACTATTTGTAAAATAAGCCACTTTTCAGGAATTGCGCGACTGTTTTTTGGCTGTAACGAATATAATTTTGAAATGTAGATAATTGTAAGTATCATGTAATACTTTGCCCTTTTTCTATCCTTCTGTTATTAAGGTTGTTTGGAATTTTGTAAGTAGTTTCTTTTTAATTAGTTCTTTGTTATTAGCGTAATAAATGTCTTGAAGAAAAAAACATAACAAAAATACAAACAAACAAACAAAAAAACATGCATAAAAGTCATAAAGTTGGAAAAACCAGAGGATCTTTTGAGATCGAGAGTGACTGTCATTAGTAACGTAATAGAATTTGGCTGGAACATAGATATTTTTTTAAACTTATTTCAACTCTCGACGAAGCAAAAACGCCTCAAGTGTTGTCATTTTAGCCACTTTACAACCATCGTTTTAAGTGGCGTTTTTGATTAAAACAGGAAATAGACTGAATCGAATCTTTCGGCCACCTGTGAGTAAATGGCAAAAAAGGGGGAGGAGACAGTTTACATTTCAGACTGGAAGAAATTTTTTCACGTACAAACCAAAGCAGAACAGAGCTTGTGTAAAAGCGTATGTATTTTTGCATGTATAAAATCTAACAATTCATTTGTTTTATCCAGGTTTGATGCCGCATTGAAGCTTTTAGTTTTTTGACCCAAATATTAAAGTAAGGTTCACTCTATGAAAAGAACAAATTTTTGACCTGCTATTTTTTCGTTTACTCTGCTGGTGAAATGTATGTAATTACAATATAATCATATCCTGTAATCGGTGTTCTCACTGTCCTGTGAGTGATCTATGACCTCCGCCTTTCTGTCTCATTGTTTGAAAACCCGTGGAATTCAATTCAGTTGTTTGAATTTTTGAAATGTTAAAACACTTTATTTTAAATTTAACCCGTGTACTTGACCTGTCTCTTTCACCTGTGGCACCGACAGAGCAATTGCGCACATCGTAGATCGCACCTGTCCATAGACTGCGACACCACAGAGGTCTACAAAGACTGTAACGACCGTTTGTCTGTTTATTTTATTGTATGTTTTATCTTTTATTTCTTATTTTTTATAACATAATGGATACATTTGTACATATTGTATATAGTTCTCTCGAATTTCTCACTTGCTTATACTGTACATAGTTTTTCTTAATTTTAATCAATTAGTTCATGATTTACTCTTTTTTAATTTATTTTAGTGTCCCCACTTAGTGGTTATACACCGCTATTACAGTTTTGACACTTTGATAAAGGTATCATCATCATCAGCAGCATCACTTTAGAGCAAAAATGCCTGTGAATATCGAAAAGGTTCAGATAATAGTAATACGCAATACATTATAACTTTGCTTGAAGAGGCAGACGTGATAACATTTCTCAGGCTTTCTCAGGCCTTCTAAACATTCATGTGATGAATGTGTATCAGTATATTTTAAAAAGAGTCGCCAAAATTGTAATTTGGGGGATAAAAGACTACTGTATACTCAGAAACTCATTTTTACGGTTAGAAACGCCGAAAATATTCATTTGATTAGGCATGCACACCGTAATTTTTAGGGAGTTATTATAACTCCAATAATAGAGTAAAAATTTTAGGTACAGGATAACCCTTTTTTTCGGGTTATTTTAACTCCTAATTTAACTCCGAATTTGGGGTCACTTTTACTTAAGATAATTCCGAAATGGGGTTACCTTTACTCCTTACGTGGGTTGTTTTTACTCCTTTTGGAGTTAATTAACCTCTGAAAGAGGAGTAAAAATTTTAGGTACAGGATAACTCCTTTTTTGGGGTTATTTTAACTCCTCAATATCTGGGGTCATTTTTGCTCCTGAAAAAGAGTTCTTTAAACTCCTTTTTGGAGTTAAAATAACTTCACTGTAAGGAGTTAAATTAGCCCCACTAGAGGAGTTATTACAACTCCCTGAAAATTACTGTGCAGGTGTTTGCATTGTACGTTTAGATTAATACACTCTCCAGAAGTGCCTATATTTAAAAAAAAAAATGTTAAATCCAAATCATCTCATATTACTAATCTCAAACTCTTTTTTTAGTTGTAATTAAATAGCCGTCGGCGTTTTCTAACGAGGTCTTCTGATTAACTGAGCACGTATACGTAATGAAAATACCTCGTGGTTTGTCGAGCCTAAACTAAAATGTAAACTAGTTAAATAAATAATAAGAGTGCTTATTGCACTGAAAAGAAATTTCTAAAGTTTAGAAAGGCTAAAAATTTATGGATGACCGTTGCATGCCCACGTTAAATCCTTGGGTTTATGTATAACTTCTAAGGGGTTTGGGGTGGGGGGCTTATATCCGGGGGGTGCATATAAGTGGAATAGAAACAAAAACATTTCTGAAGGACGCGGTTAGACATTTATCGTGCGATACTCCAAAACACTAGAGTTGAACAGATGTGTTGGAAACGAGCAGTGGATACAGGGAGATATACTGTACCCAAGACTTCCCGAACACTTTTCTTGCACTCTGTGTGAAACGCTTCGCAACAAATTTTTTCATGATAAAATCATTAAAAAATATAACTTTTTTAAAGATTTCGATGTAAAATCAAAAATTTTGTTCCTATTTAACAATATTGATCCATTTATTTGTAAATCAGTTTGTGCTTTTATTTTTGTGATTATGGATTGTAGACACTATCATGTAATTTCCAAAGTGACTTAACCAATTAATTAACTATTTACTTTTTTAGAGAATAGGCAATGTCAAGTATGTTAATAGATTATTTTTGTTGTTGTTGTTGTTACTTGACAACGCCTTGAAATGTCCAGATTTCCGGTCGTGTAACCTATAGCCTGCGTAGCAAGCGTTTCCTCGCGAAGTTCGTCTACAAAGCTGAGACAAAAGCAAAAAAAATGAATGACCGCTCTAACTTTCGTGCAATAACTCGATTGGAAACGCTTACTACGTAGGCTATGTAACCTACGCTGTGTTTTACTGATGTAAACTTCACTACAATCCCAGCAACAGTTTTTTAGATAACCTAGGACATAAGAGATCGAGCTAATCTATCCTTATACGGGAAAAAAGACTTGATGTTACGACCAGCTCTATGATCGACGCTTTCTGTTTGCCGGGTACTGCCCTGGTGCCTTTTGCATAAGTGTTTGCGGGTCATCAGCGGGACAGAAAAAAACCTGAAAAAAGCATTTCTGTTTGCAAACCTTTGTTGCTTTCATTAACATCAACGATCGTATTCATTATAATTAATAAGATGTCACTTAACTGTTAACTTTTCATTTCTCAGTGAAGTACAAACTTTTTGGCCAATTATCAGTTAACTACTGTTAACCCCACTGGCACCCTCGGTTTTCAACAAAGTTCATCAAAAGTCGTGTGAAACTACACGTGAAAACTGACGCTAAGAGGGTGAATTTGCTAGTGACACATACCAGATGGTATCCGTCAACCTTATTTCACTCTCCAGAAATAGGTATATTAAAAGTTTAAAAATTATCTCATATCTCAAATATTGCAAAAATGCAGACGGCACGAAATTCTGTCAGGTGTAACAAATTTGTGCCGTCTCATTTATCTCATTTAGTGGTCTTCTATAGTTGCAGGCTTAACACACTTAGTGAATTCATATTTAAAAATTAACGATTAATAAAAGAGTTTTTAAAACGTGTTCTGGTTTTGGCAACTTTAAGTGACCCTGCCATGCGAGTGTGTGTCTAGTGAGTCATGTACGTCAAAAATAGGATTTGACCCATTACCTACTAAGCTAACAACACAAGAGCCATTATGGCTCTTGGCTAACATTGTCAGAACCATGCATGGATAGTTATTTCGGTGGAGGGGGGTGGGTGGGAGTGTGCCGTTACATTTAGGCTATTACCAAAATCGAAACCTTTGAAGCAAGTATCCTCCACTGATCTATATTTTAGTGTCACTGAGTTGAGCTAAATTAATTCAAGACCAATGCATTCATATCTGTATTAAAAGTTAAGTAACCATTCAGAACAGACCGAAAAATCTATAGATGCAATGATTTGGCATCACATGCGTTACACGGTAAAACGTAAGCAAATAAACTGACGTCATGTGATGTCGTCAGCTTGGCTTTGATCTTAACTTGTTCCCAGTCTCTCGGACGTTTGTACACGGAAAAATGCAGTTTCTTCATGGTCAAAATCGAAAGAATTTTTTGGAGGACACATTTTTGAACTTGAGAAATATTAAATACCCATATTGAAGGACCTGAAACAGTGAAAAGAATTTCGTGTCATACACTTTAACTGAGCACGCAAACTCAGTTATAAATACCGCGTGGTTTGAGCCTAGACTGATCAATGGCCGTTTTGAAGGACACATTTTTGAACTTCAGAACTGTTAACTACACATATTGAAGGACCAAAAACAGTGAAAAAATTTCGTGTCATGTATACTTTAACTGAGCACTCAAATTCAATTTTAAATACCGCGTGGTTTGAGCCTAGACTGATCAATGGCCGTTTTCACGGCAATAAAGACAGATTATCTGTCTGAGACGGATAATCCATCTTCAAAAAGTCCGTCAAAATTAATTGTGCATCCGAAATTAACACCTTTCCATTTTCAAATTAAGACGTCTTATCTGTCTAACGGTCAATGTAAACCAATGATCATGAAATAATTTAGAAGTGCTAACATTTCAACTAAAAGAAATTTCTTAAGTTCAGAAAGGTATACAAATTTTTGGATAACTTTTCCATGATATTCGGCCGGTCTTTCTACAAATTTACTTACGATTTTCGGGGACTGTGTTTTTCACATTTTTCCACCAAAATATTGGGATTACAGTCGACTCCCGATAATCCAAACACTCTAGGGAAATTCTAAAACACAAAACACTCCTGTTCTAAATTAAAACACATGTATCTCTGCGTGTACAAAATGTAATTGTTTGTTCGAGGCAAGTTTTTTTTTCAGTTCAAGTGTGAAAATGACTGTTTGCAACCATATCGTTGCCCTCAATGCAATTTAACTAAGGATACAAGATGATACAAGGTCAGCAAGTTAAACCCCCTTTTTTTACTCTCATTGTTGATGATATTTATGCGGCGTAGGTTTTACTGAGATATGGTACGATAGTGATATTGTTCTGAGCATATATAATGCTAGCTTTGTTTCCAAGGCTTTTTGGTTCGTGATTAATTAAAGTAAATTTCGGGGTGTGACATTCAGTTTTATAGCAGCACGCTCGAAGCTGAGATCCCATTCACCCTGGTGATTTGGAAGAGAGCAGATCGAAAACAACAAGAGCTGTAAGGTTTATATCTTACTTCAAGTCTACCATAATGGTAAGTTCTGGACAGGAAAAGGTTTTACAATGTATGTTATTAATTCTTATTGTTTGTTTTACTCACGACTCAACTTTACTTCTAGTTCTTGACGGATCATTGATCTAGTTTCGCCAAAATTATTTATATTCCGCAGGCTACAACAAAAGACGTGAAAGATGAAATGAAGATTAAGCTTCATATGGACGGCGACGTTAACGGGTACAAGTTCAAGATTGAAGGAAATGGACAAGGAAAGCCTTACGAGTAAGTAAAAACTGAGTTAAATCATACTGAAAGCAGGCTTCAGACCTCAATGCTGGAAACTGGTATGTTCAGAAGAGATATCAGTATACATTTTTGGTTTTGCTTGTGTGTAAGAGATTAAAGGGGCTGTGTAACGGCAGTCCAGTTCATTTTGTTTCATTTTGCCAATTACTCGCCCTCAATCGCTATGGAACTTAAAGTAAGCAAAGAAATTACATGTAAATGACAAAATCAGAGATCCGAGACAAACAAATGCCCCTCCTCAGCATTATTTTTGAAGTTGCAAGCAGCAGGGGTCAACTTTGAAAAACTGTTAGGCTGAATAGTTTTCAAAAACCCTAATTTCAGTCCGTTTCCATCTTCTTCAGTTTTGCCCATCCGTGGCATCTGTTTTTTCTGTTATGTTATTTTAAACTTCCTTTAAAGTTTTAAGCGGTTATTTTTATGTTTCTCTTAATTTAACGGGCATTTTGTAATTACCTAATTTGGCTGAATTTCGTGACACAGCTTAACCACTAATATGCCTTGGTTTATTGTCAAAATATCTAATGTTATATGAGATTGAACGACACACCCTCTGAGTTGTGATCAGACAGGTAACAAAGTGACTCGACATTACCCCCCTCCCTTTCTACATTATCATGTGATTTCAGCCATGTTGCTTTTTCTCAAGCAAGCAGTAAGACTGACCAGGAGCCCATCAAATGGAGTCTCCATCTCCATTAATTTCTTGAGTCAACCCTTTCCCGAGTAGATTTATAAATAGAACGGCTAGTTTCCCGCGAAAAGTGTCATATTTCCGTGAGTCTCGTGTGTCACTGTGAAAAAATAAAATTGGATGAAGTCGAACTCAGAAGCCTGTCCTTCGACCGTTTTCCTTTTTTCCTTTTCGTCCATTTTTACAATTTTACAGCCGCTTGGATCTGGGTATCATGAAATAAAAGTTAATGAATTACCCGACTGAGACTGAGCATGAAGCGATGGGACAAAGGCAGCGAACTGAGGATCACGGAAAGGTTATCTTTGCGAGTGTTTCATTTTTTGCTGTCATACATCCCACATTTAAGCATGCACCTTGAAAAGAGTCGACGATTAAGCGTTCTGTGGACGATTTGGAACTTTTCGATGATCAGCGCCAAAAAAGTGCCAGGATCATTTGATTTTTGTCATCACCGTGGAGTGGATTTCGCCAGTTAAGAACCGCGTGGAAAAGCAATGACCTAAGTAGCAACTAACGAGGAATGCTTCAGCTCCGAAATTTGAGAAATTGCAGTCTTCCTTTACAACTGACTTGTATCACCATGAGAGTTGCCTGATACAACTGGCACTTGAAAAGTTGAACAGAAGACAACAGTTGCTCGACCGTGAAGCTAACTCAAAAGTAATTTGCTAATGGAGGAATTTGTGACATCGCGCTCCAGTCTTAAGACCCACTTATCTCAAGAAAAACAAAATGGATTGTATCTGCGCCAAAAGAATTATGACTGACTAACAGGACAATTCTCAGCAGTTAATGTAGAAGTTTAGGCTCAATTCCTTCCTTCGAATTCGCATCTGTAGATCACTTTTTTGCGAGAAGACAATGGCTGGACCCGGCGTTACAAAACATAGCAGGGAATCATCACACTAGCTAACGGACAAAACAACCACAAGGACTACAAGTATTTATTCAGATAAACGCATTTCGGAAAAAAAAAACCTTGAAAACTAGAAATTTGTGTAATACTGAGGCATTTAGCCGAAATAAGAACCTTAACGCTCAAAGAAATTGGCTAAAGAAAACGAATCCTGTCAGAACTACAGACTGCAGGTAGTAGTTAATCGTTATGCATGTAACAGACCAGCTTCATGGCCTCTAATGTGAGACAAGCAACCAAAATTAAGATTAAAAAAGTCAGAGTTTAAAATTCTCCACAGTATAATCTACCCGCTAGAAAAAAAAAATAAAGAAAATCTCTGAGGGATGAAAACGCTAAAGTCACGTTTCACTAGCTTATGATTGTGTTTGGCCTGTCAACAACGAATTTCCTGCTGTTTGATGAAGTACAATAGCAGTGTCATTTCGTCGTTGTGATTGGCTCTTCCCACCGTCGGCGCGCGAAGTCTCCCCTGGGAACCGTTCTAATTATAAATCTACTCGGGAAAGGGTTGACTCCAAGGGCTTGTATGGGAGATGGAGGCTCCATTTGATGGGCTCCTGGACTGACTCAGTGTCAAATACTGAGTTGTAAAAACAACAAAGTCATTTACTCAGACAATACGGTGTTTTAAGATGTAAATGACTAGGGAAACTGAACTTGCTTTTAGCGGTTTTGAAACCTTGAGTTATGGCCTTTCAACAGCGAAATAAGATTTTTACTTGACGTTGACCTGGGGGGATAGGATGGACAGGATAGCTATGCTGATATATTGACACCCTTGTTAATGAAATTCAAAAAGGATAATCTTTATTCAATGTATTATAACCTTTATTTTTCTACTTATTTATATATTTATCCATTCGTTTTATTATCCTTTTAACCTCTTTTTCCTTGGTGCTGTAAATCTCTTTAATTTCCTTGTTAAAAATCGTTAACTCTCCGACGTACACTCAAATTCATATCCCCACCGTGGTACGGGGGGGGGGGGTATACAAGTTGCATGGAGCCCCTCTCCGGAGTTTTTAACATGTTTCTAGCAGTATTTTGAAACGATTTTACCTTTAGTGAAAAGCGTTTGATCTTCGTAACAAGATGAGGTATATTTTAGGGGTGGCGCAGGCAGTGAATGTGTTTAATGTATTTCTTTGCTTTTTAATAAAATTGTTGTTGTTGTTGCATATGAATTCTCCGTTTTCTTACTCAGCTTCGATTTGTCGTTCCGTGTTTTTAGGGGAACACTGACAGTAAATCGTGCCGTCAAAGGGCGGGCGTCTGTAAGGTTTTTCCACTCAGCTTTGGTTTCCTGTTCTTGTTTTTTTTTTTTTTAAGGGGAACACAAACTATAACTCTTACAGTTACAAATGGCGGACCTCTTCCTTTCGCTTACGATATTCTAACAGCAGCGTTCGAGTACGGCAACAGGGCATTTACCCAATACCCACCAGACATACCAGACTATTTCAAACAGACTTTTCCTAATGGGTATTCCTGGGAAAGAATCATGGAATTCGAAGGCGGCGCTAAATGTTTAGTTAAAAGCGTCATCAGGTTAGTAAAATCTTAAACCTGCAGTACTCAGTACTGAAGTCTTTTAAGTCGTTGTAGTCCTCCGCCTTTTTCATCGTCGATATAAATTTTTTGGAGTCTAATCATAGATTCCACCAGTTGAAACTATCGTTTTAGCTATTCTATCGCCTTCATGCTTTGCTATTACTGACCAGGAAACTGTCATTGTTTTAGAAATGGTTAAACTAAAACTGATGTAAATCTCTTTTTCAAAAAAGTGTTCGTAATAAATAACAAAAAAGAAAAAAAAACGAAATGTTCATGTTTTATGATGTAGTACATAAGTGGCTAAGAATGTCTTTGGTATCTTCTTTGGTATCACATTGTAGCGCTCACTTAATGAATATCTCCCTTCTTTCATCAGCTTGCCGGAAGCGGGCTGTTTTGAATATAAGATTGACTTCAGTGGGATGGGCTTTCCTCCCAATGGTCCAGTTATGCAGAAGAAGACTGTGAAATGGGAGCCATCCACTGAGATGATGTACATGTGTGGTGGGGAACTGAAGGGTGATGTTAACATGGCCCTGTTGCTTGAAGATGGTAGCCATCAGCGATGTGACTTCAAAAGTATCTACAAGTAAGTGCCGTTACTTCTTTTTTATTGAATCTAACGTAAGCAATAGAACACGTTTTTCGTGTTTGCATAGTGACGTCCCTCTTGTTTTGCAAAAAAGATGTTATCAAAGTACGAATTTTTCTTGCTTCAAATCAGAGGCACCCAATGACCGATGGTTGGTAGTACGTCAGAAGTGCCTCAAAAAGTTTTCTTCATGCTTTTGAAACTTGTTTGGTTAATTTGGAGCTGCCGGCGTAAGCTATTAACAGCAGGCAAATTGTCTCCGGAGAGCAAGCTTTAAGCTGTGGTGCACGAGGTCTATGCAAGTACAGAGTAGCGCTCTTGTGCAAAAATGTAGTTATACAGTCATTCTGCATATGTGAAGAGTAGAACTATTTTTGACGCGGTCAGAACCTTAGAAGACGTTATGGAATTTTCAAAGAGATACTGACAGTATTGACTGAAGAATGGTTTGTATAGATTTCAAAAAGGCTTTTGACACAGTTGGTAGGGACTTTATATTTAGAACTTTATCCGTTTTGGCTTTGGATCATCTCTTATTCAAAGGGTCAACACTTTTTACAAGAATATCTCGAGTTGTGTCTTAAACAATAGCTTTTCAACTTCACCCTTTGCAGTTGAAAGAGGAGTAAGACAGGGAGACCCTCTCTCCGCTTGCCGTTATTTATAATAGCATTAGAAGAGTGAAGGGGGAAAACCCTAACACAGATGTTTTTTATCTATCCGCTCGGATGCTCCCTCATATCTTAAAGCTTTTCTCTCGGCTCTCCTAACCAATAAGTAAGGCCTGCAGACTAGGCGATTGCTGTTAACTTGTAGGCTTATAAAACCGGATCTCAAAGGGAGGTAGTCTCCTTCACAGCTGTTTTTATGGCTGTCACGCAACTCTCCTAGCTGCAGCGAAGGAAACTAAAAGGGAGGAGGAACTTAATCGTTACACAAACCCATACCTCGTCGGAGGAGATTAATATAAAGGGTGATTATTATTTGTCATGTTAATAAAATTCGGAAGACGTTAACTTGGTAACTACGATATTCTGCTAAAATACATGCTCGCGCAACCTGATGAAGTACATTTTTGCGTATTGATCTCAGCTCTTTTCTTTTTTGCAGAGCTAAGAAGCCTGGTATTCAGTTGCCGAAATATCACTACATAGACCATCGCATTGAGATTTTGGAGCAAAAAGATAATTACAACCAGGTTGTGCTGTATGAGAAGGCTGCTGCTCGATATTCTCCGTTTCCAGTTAAGGCCGCCAAATAAATAAAAGGCTTATTAAGGGCGAAGAGAAAAAAAGTCTTTCTGTGTTTAAGGCATATGCTCGGAATTAGTTTTTGTTGCTTTGGATTCAGGAGTTCGTTTCTAGATTTGTTAGAGTATAGCTGTGGAGTTCAAGTATAACAAAATAAGTTTTTTTAGTGTGTGTGTTTTTTTTCGTTTTGTTTTTCTTTCTCATTTTTCAAGATTTCATCATAGATATAGAGTTGTTAAACTCACTTGTAAACAAATTAAATACAATAAGAATTCTGTAGCTGGGAATGAACTTGTTTCAGAATTCGGGCCTTGTGGAGATTCATTTGTTTTGTTTGTTTGCTCGTTGGTTTTTTCCTGCGGGCTTGGAGAGTGACTTTTTTCGTTATTTAATGTCAGCATATCAGTTATTAATAATTTCTTTCCTTGGTTTTTGGTGGATTCATGATTCAAAATCAGACAGTCACTCAATTTGAGAAAGACAGTCAGTCACCTTCTCCATCCGATCCTTGAGTTAACTTCTTTCTTAATTAAAATCCCCAAATTGCTTCAAGTTTCTGTTATTATTATTATTATTATTATTATTTATTATTATTATTATTATTATTATTTAGTTACAATTTGTCGCGTACATAGTGGCAAAATTGCTTTTTGTGAGCGTGTCCCTCGTGTCTTGAATTGTTTCGATGCTTCTGGACTCTATTTGATTCATTTGAGCCCCTTTTTCTACCGCCTGAAACGTTGTTAGAGCGGGCTTTAACCGATGGAAACTTTAAACTTTTCCAAAATCAGTAACTGAATTTCTAAGTTACTATCTGTTAATCGCAGCGGAGAGATATTTACCTTTAATCGGCTGCTTCCGTTAGCCATGAAAAAGCCAGAAGTCTCCATCGCAATGGGACCCTTTTTTGAGACAGTGGTTACTGAAAGGGAAGGCTGAATGTGATCTTATAGTTTTCTTTATTCCTCCAAGGGTATCCCTTATCTCTATTTCTCTGACTAGAACGTGTCACTTAAAATCCAGCAAATATTTATTATAATATATAGACAATGATTTTTATCCTCTCCAACTAGCATTTTTATCCGTCAAGGGATTATAACGTATAAATGAAGTACAAACATTAAACACAAAGGACTGCAAGTCTGCAAAAGGCCGCAAACGAATATGCCGCGCGCAGAACGTAGGATCTATAAAGACCTTATCAGCTACTTCTATAAATGAAAATGTAATTTAACCTGTCCTAGTAGAGTTGTTAGCAGAGATGGATTTGCATTTTTCATTTTCCGTAGATAAATCGGTAAAGAGAAACGGTTTAAATTAGGATATTTCAAAGCGCTTAATCGCCCCCACTACCTGGAGCGTGATAGCTAGTGTAGTAGTATATATATTAAACCGATGCACAACGTTAATGTTTCCTCCAAATGTCTGAAATGAAGCTTCAAACCCAGAGCATTCAACTTCATTTGGAGGTTTATGGAAAGGAATAACTGTCGTGAAGTGGTGAGGAAAGCACGTTAGCGTTCGCGTTTAACGGTGATAACCGTGACGGGAAGTTTTTCGTTGAAATTCATTATAGACGGTTCTAATTATAATCAGAGATAATACACAATGAAGCTCAATGATATATGTTTTAAAAAGGTGGCGGAGGGTGAATATTTCCGGGGGGGGTGATTCCAGGGTCCAGAGTATTTTTTTTCTTTGGGGGAGGTGGGGAGAGGTTGAGTAAGTCCAGAGTCCAGGGACCAGAATCCAGAGTCCAGAGTCCAGACTCCAAGGTGCAGGGTCCAGTCCAACTTTTAGGATATGCCATGATCTCCATAACAATCTCTGGTATTCCCAAATAGCTACAGTCTAACCTCTCCTTACGGACACCTCTATTACGGACAGATCGTTTGGTTCCAGAAATGCCAAAATCATACATTCCGTACCTCTATAATACGGACACCTCTGAAAACCGGACACTTGGTTCTGTCCCTTTGGTGTCCGTATTAAAGAGGTTTGACTGTACTAATTTCCTGTGAACAGCCAATTTTACAAATCCTATAGAGTACACTTACCGACAAAGACTGTTCAGTCAGAAGGAAGTAATCCTTAATTAAACGTCGATGTCATTATTTAATTTAGCAGTACATACCGTGAAAAGCAAAGGCAGAACGTCAAAAAAACAATAGGTTTTATTAGCAAAACAACAACTTTGCACGTGCACCGCACTTTTTTGTACATTTCTTTGTCCGTTTTCGCACGACTACGACGTGAACATGCCTAATTTCGCGTTTTATGGAGTACGTAAATAAGCAACGACGAAATTTGTTTCTCTTACTTCACTTGGATATGCCGGTCCCTAGGAATTCATCTTCAAGAAGGTTCGCCTACATTTGACAAAGTAAGTGGGTAGGAATAATTGCGATAAAGACTGAAAGAACGCAAATTCACTTTTTAAGCGACGTCCTCATTGCCGTCGCGCCGTTGGATCTTAAAGTCCCTAGTATCTGATCCTAGAAGACATGGCAGATGACACAGCAAAGCATATGAAAGCCTTCAAGGGCAAACAATCATGGAAAGTCCGTGGTTTACCAATGGGAGAATAAATACAAACAGCATGATGACCCTAGGATAAAAGAAATAAAATAAAGAAATACATAACCATTATATATGCGTTTAGCATCTAGCATACATATCGATTATACAATAGCAAACCAGGGCCGGATCCGGGAACTTGATTGGGGGATCCAAACTTTGGTTCAGAAAGGAGTGTTGAACTTTTTTATAGCGAATTACTTATCTCCCACACCCCCCACACCCCACAGCCCCTCCCACTAGTCGCGGTTGCACGTTATAATTCAGTCGTCTGCCCTTTGGAACATCCTCCTCTTGTGTTTGGTAACAACGATTGTACAGATTTCGTCAACGTCATTGTCAAAGTCATGGTGTAAGTGCGTATGAGTGCAAGTCCTGACAACCGCTCATCAGTCATCAGACAATCCATGGCTTCAGCTCCTCCTGTTCAGCGTCAGCTTCTCATTTTCAATTTCACTGGATTTGACTGGTTGATATAAAGAGCCAGTTATCGACCGAGTTGTCGCCATAATTGTCCACCAGCTGAGAAAGTAGAGACGATCACGTGTTTCTCAATCTGTGCACATCGATCTCCTTTGGCGCGGGAAATACTGCTTTGCAAGCAGAGGTGAATAGATCATAGGACGGACCCCCCCGCCCCCACCCCCAAGCAAAAACTCCTGGATCCGCCACTGTTTTGAGAGTTTCAAACTGCATTACTTCTTCTTAATGTCTAATACTCACGACAAATATTTTGCTGTGCGCGAATACAACTCGGCAGGGGCACCCAACGACGTTTTCCTCCTGAATGCATTGAAAACACTTTTTTGGCTATCCAAAGTCCTTTTAGATCTCAAGGAAAGCATTCTAAGCGACGCTGTAAAATCTGTTTCTGTTCGGTCTTCCTAGGGGAACTTGAGTCTTTTCGAAATTACAACGGCTTGAGTATTATTTTCCAGAAAATTTTTGATGAAATTTGATGCAAGTTGCGTCCGTCTCCACGAAGCTTAACAATAGTGGATACTGTCCTTTCGATGAAAGAAGTTCTCAGAAAAGGTCAGAAACACTTCCTCTATTGAAACGAAATGTGTTGCTATTGGGATTTTAGCAAACTGAAATTTTATTTAATCAACCGGCAGAATTGATTGCCGAGTACCATCAAATGAAAAGAGAATATGATGTTTCACTTAGCCGGAGATGGAATTTAAGGACTGAAGCTAATCAAGATGTCACCAGCAATTTTAAGTGAAATTCCCTTGTTAGTAGTCATTACGGCCATAACAAGTGTTTCTCTTTCATATTTCATTGAATTAAATTCACATTAGCCTTGGTCGATAAACATTTATATAACACGTTAATCAAAAATTTAACGAATAGAATCAGCATGAGGCTTCACTCATTAAAATAGGAACTCTTTAATATCATGAATCGTCAAATTTGATCCTTTGCTGTTGTTATAATTAGTTGGTTAAGGCTGTTAAATGACCGCATGTCGTGATAAGTTTTACATTTTACGCTCTTTAGTTTTTGTCTTACAGCTTTCGTTAATTTTCTATATTTTTCTTTTTTTTAACTCATATTACCTTTAAACGGAAAATCAGGTTTTATCGGTTTTCTTCCATCTCTGTTTTTCTTTAAGATAAAATGATGTTAGTATTTTTCGATGTTGCCATTGTTTCGTTTCTATAAACAAGCTTGTTTTTGTTCTAATGAAAATTGTTACCTCCTTTATTAAATAGGAAAGCCGTTATTAAAGATTGCACCCCGCGGTGCAGATTAATTTACTTCCTACAGTCCGCAAAACAAGACCCTCTAAAATGATTTTAAATTTCCCAGTTCTTGTTGTTTTTAAAAAGGAAAATTAAAGGAATTCTCGCTATTCTTGAAGAAATAAAGGTTACAACTTAGAAAGCGTTGCTTTAAAATGATATTAAGGATGATAAAAGATGTCCGTGTTGGCCGGAGAGAGGCCGATGAGACCTTCACAATTAATCAAAACTGCTTTATATATAGTCTGTTGGTTTCCTTTTTCCGTCGCTTGTTAACCTTAACTTGACCTTGCAAATCCATTACAGTGGTTCAAGTTTTTATAACTTATGACTGCAATAATCAGGAAACTTTTTACACATTTTAACCGTAGCATGGTTTCACAACCGAGTCAGATGAAGAAAGCTGGGCTTGGGATTCCTCTGTAAATTGTATCAAAATAACCGGGGTTCTTTAACAGTTTACCGAGCTTTTTCAATCATGCCCATTGTTTGAAATCGAAATAGGTAACTTGCTCTGAATTATTATCTTTCCCGTTCACAGTTATATGTTTTGATGGAACGGATAGGCGTAATTAAAAAAGTATAACTAGTATAATAAGTATTTTCCTTTGCAGTATTCCAATGATACATCAGCATGCCTACTGATTAATTGCATCAAATTGTATTGTAATTTGTATAATTTCCCAATAAAGTGCTCCATATTTAGTTAAGTCACAAGGGGTAGAAATAGGTTATTAGTTATTAGTTCTTATTGATGGGCATTGGTGCGCACTATAAATTAAAACATCCGAAGTTTTCGTTGTTTATTTACCACTCAAAGGAAGAAAAAGAACCGAGCTATCGTTCTCTCAGTCAACAAATTTCCTCTTTCCCGAGATGCAGCCTTACCGTAATGTAGCCACAACTCAGTTTTTGCCCATTTATTGGAACTGTGAACAGTGTTTGTGCGAAAACTGCCTGAAGTCCCCCAATCAAGAATCAAGTTCGTGTGTGGTGTCGGATAACACGCAAAAGACTTCATTCTCCATTGAATCCTTGTTAAGCAGAAAGGACGGACCAAAAACTGACCAATGTATGGTAAGTCCGTCTTTGAAGATGAGCGGAGTCCCCAGTAGTA